CACTTGCTAGGCAATCATCCTACCACTGATCTATATCCCTCTGTCCAAGGCATCTATGTTTCCTAATGTGGTGTCAGGGTAGAACCTTGGGCTTTGCACACGGTAGGCAAATGTTGTGCCACTGAGCTGCACTCCCAACATCTCTAAGTCAAAGTTTCAGAAAAAGCAACTGAGTCACAGCTATGACCTAAACAAATGGAGATACACTGTAGACACCCCATCATTTCTAATTCACTTGTGCTTTTAAATTAGAAGTGTTTGTTAAGTAGAGAAGCTTACCATGGTCTTAGAAAAGAGGGAAGGGCAAACTTGAATTATGACTCTGAAATCAGAAAATCATTCTTGGAAAGTTGTGGAAGTGATGCTGGAGAAATTTTCTCTCGTGTCCTTCTGAACAAGGGTTCCATTTTCTTTGACTCATGTAGGGATGGAAAAAGAATTATGGACAGGAATCTGGAACACAGGTCTAGATCTTACATGTACCCTGGGTTTTTCCATGTCCTTGTGAACTATTTTGCTTCCGCAGGCATAGTCTCCTCATTTGTGGCCGAGAAATAGCAAAGTTCACTCTACCAAAACTCCTGAAAGCTTTGTCTGTGAGAAGCAATTGAGATCTGTCTACAAAGACTTCAGTAAAGTCTTATATATATATATAGCATGAAAGAAGAATCCTTGAAAATACTCAGTTTGGTGAGATGTGTGCTGAAAATATTACTGTTCTCTTGGATAAATTGTGACCAAGGGAGGTGTGATTTGAGACTTAGCACATGACTGAAAACTCCTGAAAGCTTTGTCTGTGAGAAGCAATTGAGATCTGTCTACAAAGACTTCAGTAAAGTCTTATATATATATATAGCATGAAAGAAGAATCCTTGAAAATACTCAGTTTGGTGAGATGTGTGCTGAAAATATTACTGTTCTCTTGGATAAATTGTGACCAAGGGAGGTGTGATTTGAGACTTAGCACATGACTGTGTCATGTGGGACCATGATATGATGTTAGACTTGAGCAAATGGAAATGAGGAGGCAGCTGTGCAAACATGGCCCTCTCTGGGGATGTGGACTCCCTCTGAGGAAGCCCATTGCTCCTCGTCACTCTTACCTGGTGGAGAAGCAATGAAACTGAACACAGCAATACCATTTTTATGTTGAGTAAAACATAGATGCATTTGTATTTATTTTCCCCCAACTTTGTTACGATGTCATTAAGTGTATAAACAGTGTGCTTAACTAAATTTCATTCAATGTTTTATTGATATTTATAACATTCACTTCATATTTATTTTTTTCTATCATGTTCATTCATTTCACTTGTTTCCTTTCTACTATATTACTTATTATTACTAATCCTTGGTTCATGCCATTTTAAGAAGTTAAAAATAAAATTTGTATTTCCTTTCTTGTGTTTACTATCAGCTGAGAGATATAACACAGGAGTCAGAGAGGTGGGATCCAATCAACAATAAATACCCTAAGTCAATCTGAGAATGTGACTCGTGTGTGCAGGCAGATGGCTTCATCTCCACTCTGCATACCCCAGTGTGGTGCTGCATGTGTACTGTGACTTGCTCTGTCACATACCAGCCCATGCATGAAGGAAAATAGAAGGAAGAGGTCACATGTCTTAGACTTAGGACCAGATTTTGGTGTAAGTGACTGCTCGTGTTATGTGTTGGGCATGTAATTTCTCTGATGTCAACACCAGGAAATGAAAAATAGAAATTAAAAAAAATGTGTTCAGTTCCGCCCCTCTCAGGTACTGTAAGTTAAAGGTCTGTTTTACACATTATCCTGATAAAGAACACTTTAATAGCAAAAACCTTAGCTAATGTCCCAATGTACGATAACTTCTTCACTTTGCTCTCTATAGTTCAGAAATTACCAGTGACAGAGGCATCTAATCTCACTCAAAAGTTTTGTAAATGAAAAACATTGTTAGTTTTGCTGAACAAAAATGCTCCCTTCTACCTGGCTAGAATAGATAACAAAATGAAATTTAAAGGTATCCTCTGCTAACAAAGTGTCACATCTGGGTTGAAATTCAACTGCCTCCACACCATGTTTTGAATATCAGCTTTGTGAACTGTGAAATTGCAATGTAACCAAGTGAATGAGATCACGGCTCTAAAACCCTAGGAAAGGGGGAGTTGGAGCCCAGTGCTGGATCTATGAGGGCACGGCCATTAGGTGTGATCGACCCCCATCGATGGAGTAAACGTTTGTTATTTTCCGTCCATTCTGCTGCCTCTCTGTGTGCCCCTTGTCAGTTCCTCCCATAAGAATCCCAGTGTTTTCCGGAGCACTGAGCAAACTTCTCGTAGACATAACGCATCTCCTGGTAAATCCTCCCTCCCTGCTCTGAGCCATCCTTCCCTTCTCTGACCCAGCTCCCCGCACATCAGCAGTGTTTTCTGTTTGACACTCACAGCACTGAGTGCAGTCACCTCCCATCACGCACTCTCAGTGTGTTTCTGGCTCCCGGACCTAACACCTTGGGCCTCTCCTCTCCACGGGTGGGTCCTCCCGTGCTCCTTACCTGGGGATTTCGCTGGAGGGAAGGTGCTGCGCATAGGAAAGAACAAAGCCACCTCCACTCTTCCTCTCAGATTCCAGAGAGATACTTTTGGTTCAGCCCAGGCCCTCTGCTGACCTCTTTCTCTGTTGTCCTAGAGAGTAAACCACCTCGGACCATTTGTGTCTATCTGATAATTCCTTGATGTTGCCCTCAGATATCACCTGCACTTCTTCTGGGTGTAAAAATATCTCTTCAAAAGAAGAACTTACATGTCTTCAAATGTTTGTCCATTTATATTTATAGTTTGTATTTATTTTTTCATGCTTTTTTCCATCTGGCCTTCTCAGTGTGTTCTGCCTATTTCTTAGTTTGTCTTTACTTTTCCCCACCTCTTTCCTTTCTAAGCTTTCTAATATTTTGAAGTATCCTCCTGCATATGTTGATTCTAAATGGGATTTTGTCAGGTCTAACCTTTACCCTATTCATCAACATCAAAGAGTTTATAGAAAGGTTAATATATATTTTATTTTCATAATTTCTCATTGATTTCCTTTTCTTATTTCCCAATATATGGTGTTCATTAAGAGCGATGTGCTGTGTTTTAGTTCATTTCCAGCTCTTCTATTTATTTTAGATGGTCTCTTGACTGATGAAAAGCCATCCAGCCCAGGCTAAGCATTGTATTTGGGTATCTGTGAGGTTGATTCAGAAGAGGTGAGCATGGGAATTGTCAGAGAGTAGCTTTCACCCTCAGCGAAGGCAGCTTGGGCCTTGCAGTCCACTGAGGCAGAGGAAGGGGACTGTGCTGCGTGTGTTTGAGCAGGACGCGCATGTGCTCCTGTCCTGGGAGATGAGCACTCCTGGTCCTCAGCTCTCAGCCCTGGCCTGGAAGTTACCCCCGTGGCTGCCCTGGTTTTGACGGCTCTGGCCCTGAACGGAAGCCCTGCAACCAGCTCTGCTTGGCCCCTAACTTGCAGATCGGAAATTGTGAGAGTTCTCAGGCTCTGTAATGTGATGCTCCACTCCAGCATAACAAACCTCTTTCTACCTATCTCTGCCTATCCTGGTAGTTCTTTTACTCTGCAGAGTCCTAACCACTATCCACAGTTGTAAAATTCTGAGTGTCAGTTGGTTTGTTTTCCCATGTGCATCTGGAGTGGACTGTGAAGCTTAATGTAGGGCACAGCGATCGCTCAGGTCTGCTGAGTGGAAAGTCACTGTAAAGGTGACCAGAGAAAGACGCTCTAACAGGGCACCACGGAAGTGAGGACCTGAATAGTGTAAGGAGATCGCGTCCACGGGATTACTTGATGTGGTTAAGAAACCGCAAGGAAGTCAGTGAAAATAAAGTGAGTAAACAATGGGAGAATGGGAGAGGATAAAGAAAGTAAAAGAAGATAAAGAAGTAGCACAAGTCAAAAGGAGGGACGTTAAAATCCACGAAGTACTTTCAGCAGGAAACTGAAAAGCCTCACTGAGATTTCAGTTTGTTATTGTTTAAAATCAAATTTATTGGTACTCTTTGGGTATACAGTACGGTTACATTCGTCATTGGGATCTTGTACCTTTACATGACAGGTCTTGGGTCTCATTTTTCCCCCTACCCCGCCCTCCCTTCACCACTTACTCCCTTCCCTATTTACAAAAACTTTGTTTCTATTTTTTAACATGAGACTTGATAGATAGGAATATATCACAAAGTGGTTTAGTTACCCCCTACTTTTCTGGAAGTCTATTGTTGAAATTTTAAACAGGAACATGTTTGTTTTATAAAATGTTCCTATCAAGTTCAAAGTACTAGGTTTTTTTTTTTGGAACCAGCAGTCATACTCAGGATCTTACACTTGCCAGCCAGGCACAGCAACAGTGAGCTACATCCCCAGCCGAAGACTAAAAATATTAATTCATTTAATTCTGTATTTCTGCATGTCCCCATATGATGATCCCAATAAAAAAGCAAAAGTGCACCACTTTTATTGTTGAATTAAGACTCAAATCCTACTGGTAAAGAATAAACAGTAGGAAACATGATTAAACTGCTTGTACTTTACTCAGTCACTGAAGTATTTTCTAAATAAAAATTAGCCACTTTCCCCTTCTGTCTGGCCAAATTCCCACCTTCATTTGTATGTGACCACATGGATATAGTTTGGAACACAAGATGTGCACATGGATACCCCTCTTTTACATGTCTGTTTCTACTGTTTTGTGGGGGAGACAATGCATGAAGTATGCGAGTCAATAAAATGCTCTCTAAAAGGCCTTTTATAAGCAGGAACAAAAATAACTCACGGTTCCACATATCTTTTCATTCCCTTGTCATATTTCCGAAGACATTTCCACATCTCTGGACAGTAGCCTCTGAAGTGTAAGTGTGTTGCTTTAGGACACATGTTCTACCTGAGCCTTCCAATGAGATTCGGTAGATGAAGATGACATGACATTCGCATTTATAGGTCCCTGTTGTCTCCTCCAAAGTAAAAGTCAAAATGCTAAAGACAATTTTATCTGTGCAATAACTTTCTTGAATGCACCCTTGACCTCCTTGTTCCTCAGGCTGTAGACCAGTGGGTTCAGCATGGGGATCACCATGGTGTAGAACACGGACGCCATCTTGTCTGTGTCCATGGAGTGACTGGAGCTGGGCTGCAGGTACATGAAGATGAGAGTCCCGTAGAAGATGGAGACGGCAGTGAGGTGAGAGACGCAGGTGGACAGAGCCTTCTTGTATCCCTCACCTGAGTGCATCTTTGAAATTGTGGTGAATATAAGCAGATAGGAAACTAAAATAACAGTCAGTCCAAATATAAGATGAAAGCTTGCAATGGAAAGAAGAATGAGCTCATTAATGTGTTTATCAGAACAAGCCAGAGTCATGACTGCTGGAATATCACAGAAGAAGTGATGGACCACATTGGTCGCACAGAAAGGGAGGCAGAAGGTGTCTGCAACCTCAACAACAGCAGTCAGAAAACCAGAGGTGTAACAGGTGAAGGCCAGATGGGCACACATCTTCCTTGTCATGATCACAGGGTAGTTCAGGGGCTTACACACGGCTGCAAAGCGATCAAAGGCCATGACTGCCAGGAGGTAATTGTCCGGTTGCAAAGTTGCAAAGAGTATGAAGAAGAACATCTGAGCAGCACAGGCATAGTGTAAGATAAGTTTGTCGCCAGTGAGCAAACCAGCCAAAACCTTTGGGGTGATCGTTGAAGAGTAGCCGAAGTCCACCAGGGACAGGCTGCTGAGGAAGAAGTACATGGGGGTGTGCAGCCGGGGGTCCAGCAGGATCACCAAGGTCATCCCCAGGTTCCCAACCAGAGTGAGGAGGTAGACGAGCAGGAACACAGTGAAGAGGGGCAGCTGCAGCTCTGGGGTGCTGGTGAGTCCCAGCAGGATGAACGCACTCGCCTCTGTGGTGTTCTTCATAGATGGCTGTGTAGGATCACAGTGCACTCTGCGGCAGAAAGAGATGAAGGAGCAGCAAGATGAGTCAAAATAAGTTATGTACCTGTTCAAATGTGTAAGCATCAGTATGTTATGTAATAAACTGGTCTTCCACAGTCTCCAGATCTAAGGTTTGGTGTGAGCAAAAACTGTTGGAAGAGTAATCTGTACCTTCGTTGTTTTGAAGTGGAGGGGTCTTCATGGTTTGTCTCCCCTGATTATTAATTTTGCACTTGAGCAAACCGAGGCACCGTAGTCGGATAAGAAGTCGTCCAGGGTCACATGCCTGGAAGAAATCTCCCTGCCAAGGAAGATTCAGCCTCACACCTCACATGGCTGTAACGGTCCCTTGTCCTGCTTCACTGTCATTTCATACTCGCCAGTCTCCTTAGGGGTTACTGATGCCCACTTTCACGATGTAAGTTGCTGTCAAAGGGACTGAATTTATTAAAGAGTACATGACCATTTGTAGACAGAGCTTAGTTTGGGAGAAGGTAACTTCCAATCAAAATACTAGAATATGATAACATTCTAAATTTATTTAATTTAGCTTTAATCAGTTTTTCTTTTCTCTGAAGCATTGTGCAAGAGTTATGTTAGAAGAGAGATTCACAGATAAATGCACAGTGGATACAGTGACTTGCATAGAGCATTAGAGTCATAGGACATCAAGAAACACAATTTGAAAATTAAATGCAACCTTGTTTATAGAAGTGAGTCCCCGTTGAAAGGGTGGATTCACATTACTATGTCATCCTTACTATTTGCTAGCTTGAAAAATTGCTCTTAACCTAAGTTCTTTGAATTTAATTTTTATGAATGAGTAAAATAAAAATTTCCCCCATGAAAGTTATGGAATATTTGAAGCAAACAGTAGTTACACTCATCATTGGGATCTTGTACCGTCCCATGATACGTCTTGGTTCTTGTTATTTCCCCATTTCCCTGCCTTCCCTTCACCCCATTCAGCCTTCCCTATTTACAAAGACTTTCTGTCCATTTTTTCCTTTTTTCACATTTTAAAATCTTATTTCCTTTCCCCTCCCCTTCCCACTTCCCCTTTAGCCATTTTCTTCCTATTTCACACTCTCAGTTATACCATTTGAACCTTATTTACACTTTTAGTTTTTCACACCAGAGAAACTATTTGGTATTTACTCGTGTGTCCTATTCATTTCACTTCAGAGTGTAGCCTCAGTGCATCCAAGAAGAAAATAAATTTCACTGGGCACTTGGGGCTGACCCAAGATAGTATTTTGAAGGTTGAGTGAGACAGCACGTGAGGACAGCATGATGCGTGTGTTCAGTGTCGTCCTGATGATGGTCGCTCTAATGTCATCAGGATGAGGGATGGGCTCTGTGTCGGTACAGGAAGATTGGTCTCCAAACACTGGGCCCTGGGATGGGTGAGTTTGTAGTCTGGTAATTCGTCTCTTAATTTAATTTTTTTTCACATGTTACAGCCTTCAAATCTTTTGTTTTCTTTGGGATATGTCAGTGTGTTTTTTCTCTCCCAGATGAGTGGCTGTGTCCAGTATCGTGCTGAGAACCCTAGGAGCTCAGAGTCCACTTTTGCTGGACTTCTGTACAACACACATTTCACACATTGTAGTTTATGTTCAAAGAATGTGCTGGTGTCTTAGATTTGTCTCACTGCTGTTATAGACAGTAGTTTGCTGCATCATTGATGCGGAGGTTGAGTGTTCAGGGCCCGAGAGTTGTACCTTAGCCTGCAGACTGCCTGTCCACTTCCTGAT